CTGACTTTATATCTCACAATTTTGACTTTTTTTCTCTGAATTTTGAGTTTACATCTTGTAATTTTGTTGTTGAATAATAATAATTTAAAAAAAGTGATTGTGACTTTTTATCTCTCAATTCTGACTTTTTTTCTCAGAATTGCGTGATATAAACTCGCAGTTAAAGTCCAATTTTGAGGGGGGGGGACTTATGTTCTCAGAATTGTGAGTTTATATCATGCAATTCTGAGAAAAAAAGTCAGAATTGAGAGATAAAAAGTCACAATTAGCTTTTTTATTTTTTATTCAGTGGCGGAAACGGGCTTATAGATCTATCTCAGCCAGCTAGATAGCATTATTAAACAGCAGAATTAGCAACATCAGTGCAGAAGACATTACAGGACAACAAATCTTGAAGTTGGCAAGGAATACAAGTGGATGAACAAACACGGCTCAACTCATTCAACCCAGCCTCAGATCTGAAGACACCAAACAAACTCATGAAACAGCTAATAGATGAACTCTTCTATGATCTAACAAAGAAGCCGGACAGTTCTTGAGATTTATACGTGAGTTCTTGAGATATTACAATTTTGTATTTGTATACTGATTTGATTTTTATAATTAACAGCAGGGTTGCAAAGGGGTGGAACATTTCCGGAAAATCTCCAAAAATCCCTGGAATATTCCCAAAAAATCCTGGTAAATTCCCAAAATTTTCTGGTAATGTTCCACCTTTTTGCAACCCTAATTAACAGCCACAGTTGTTACTGAAGATTAGCAGATATTAAGTGATCTCTAGTTGGATACTAGGAGATACCAAGTACTTTATTGACAACAAAGACAATAGTTTCTGACACTAGTTTATTCTCACAGACAGAGGGGTGTACCTTGTTGGCAGCTATGAGCACTTTATCCAGGAAGCGGAGCCACTCGAAGACGAAGACGGCTCTCTTGGCTTCAGTGATGTGAGCCAGGGCCTCTTCATTCAGCAGCAGACTGTGCGCCAGCTCCATCCTGACACAAACAAAGGCTTTAGCACTCCAGCCTGACCGAAACTGAGCAGCATTATCAGCATCCTCATCTGTGAACCACATTCATGGCCTACACCGAGCAGCGGACACACTACACTTACAGAGAAACTGCTCAAAATGAAGCGTACATGTATCGCGCGCAGGTTGGGAGTAACGACACACGGTTGTCTGTCTGAAATAGCTCGATCTAGTTTATGGAGTAAACGTTATCTTACCTGTTTTCCGTGTAGCGAGCTTTTATGTTTGTGTTGAGATTGGTGGAAAGGTTCCGAGTCACTTCCGCTTTCACAGCCAATGAACGGAGAGAATGCAAGACACGCTCGTGGAAGTGAACGTAACTTCCTGCAGGTGGCGCTCAGACGATTTTGTGTGTACACTAAACACTGAAATGTTTAATAGTTGAAACATAATAATTCCACACGTTCTTATTTACAATATTTAAATCTGTCCTGCAACAACTGAAATCAATTTTAATAAAACCCGAATACGGTAACCACGAACGACAAGCGAGCTTTTATGTTTGTGTTGAGATTGGTGGAAAGGTTCCGAGTCACTTCCGCTTTCACAGCCAATGAACGGAGAGAATGCAAGACACGCTCGTGGAAGTGAACGTAACTTCCTGCAGGTGGCGCTCAGACGATTTTGTGTGTACACTAAACACTGAAATGTTTAATAGTTGAAACATAATAATTCCACACGTTCTTATTTACAATATTTAAATCTGTCCTGCAACAACTGAAATAAATTTTAATAAAATCCGAATACGGTAACCACGAACGACTGTCATTGGTTCCTCCTGTGTCCACGTGACTATTAAGGGGCGGGTCCTGCGGCGGTGTCGTAACCCGAGCTCTGGTCGTAGATCTTCACGTCTGCGGAATATAACGTATGCGTTTCTGTGGCAGTGTTGATAACTGTAAAATGAATCCGTGTGAGGCCATAATTATGAACGCGTAGATGCGCAGTCGAGCTCTCCAGACCGGTATCACGTGACTCTCGGTTTCAGTGGGCGGGGCCAACATGAATATTCATGAGTATCCCGGGCACGCGCGTAGCTCCTTGTAGCAGCTTTAACGGAATATTAAAAATGATAATAATAATAATAAATTATGCCTGAACTACATTTTGTTCATCATTTCGTACCAGTTTATAATGTGCAGCGACGGAATGATTGCAGACATTCTTTGTGTAATGTTGATGTTCGGATGAAGCACAGCAAACTTTAACCAGTTGTTTGTGTTGATTTCAGTTCGTTGTGCTGTAGTTTATTAGTTATCATTTGAGTGCAGCAACTGAAATCTATCCTGGTGTGATTGTTCTTAAACTATTGGGCTTATATTTACAAAATGAACGGGAATCTTAGACCACACACACACACACATAATAGTGTTCCTTTAGTACAGGAGTACAATTCTGGATTAAACAAAACTGTATGGACAAAAAAGTAGCCTACATTTTGGTACACTGTAAATGAGAAACAAATACTTCACGGCATTTTATGGAATAGAATATGCAACTAATTTGACATTAAAGCAGCACTATGTCACTTTTTCTGTGTTCAAAATTTGCAAAATGTATATAATGAGCGAGTACATCATGAATTAATCTTCCAAACCGCGTTTTTGTCTTATTCCGAATCACTACGGTACACTTATAATAAGTGCTTATATTCGGACTATTGTAGCCTGGTCACCGCTGCGGAGGAACACACACCTGCGTGAATCGCCAGAGACATACACTTAGAGAAGTAGCTCCGGTCGGAGTGTTCTTCCGCGGGATGCGTGCAGCTCTGTTTATTAACCGCTAGAGCGCCAAACGTTACAGAGTGCTGCTTTAACGAAATACTTTTATTTACAAATGTTGAAAAGTGTGCTTGTGCTTGTTTTGATAATATGTCTAAAGGTTTTGTATTAGTAAGATTCTTTGTTCATGTTCACCAACTGCATTTATCTGATTAAAATATAGGCTAGTCAAAAACAGTAATACTGTAAAATGTATTTTTACCATTTAAAATAACTGTTTTCTGTGTTTCCCCCCCTGTGATGTCAGATCTCGACTTCTCCAGTCTTCACAGAAATCATTCTAATATGCGGATTTGCTGCTCAAGAAGCATATATTATTATGATCAATGTTGAACACAGTTGTGCTGCTTAGTGAAGAAACCATGCAGCGACAGGATTCACAGATGAATAGAAAGTTCAGAAGAACAGCATTTATTTGAAATATAAATCTTTTGTAACTTTATAAATTAATCAAATGCCAGAATTTGTTTTTTTTTTGTCCTAGTTTTATTTATTTATTTTACATTTACATTTTAATTGTTGTTTTCTTTCTCATTTAGATGCTGGAACAAAAAAGCAGCCAGGCCCACAGCAGCTGAGCTCTACTGGGGCCCCTTTAAGGGACTGGTTTATATTGATTTATATTGATTTATCCATCCTCCTCTGCAGGGTCTCGGGCCGCAGGCAGGGACCGCCAGGCCATCATAGCTGAACACAGTTGCTTTACATATTCATATTTAATATTACTTTAAATCTTGAAAAACATAAGGAAAACACACAAAATCAGAGCATATTTTAAAATGGAGAAAAACGTAACATTTAAAGTAGTATGCTAAATGTTTGTGTGATTCAGTGAAGGAGGGTAAAACAGCCAATGACGTGAAAACAACAATCTGAACTGCAATATTAATAATAATAATAAATAATTCCAGCAAAAGTATATATTAAACAAGTATAATAATTTTTGCACAATGTAACATTTCCAAATAGTACAAAACAAGGAACAAAAAAAATAAATAATAATAATAATAATAATAATAATAAAAACAGGTATCAATCATGGTACATGCAAGATCTCATCATATTTCTTCAAAAACAACAAAAAAAGTAGTACAATTTTATTATTAATTATTCTTAGTAATTTGATTAAATGTTCTACTTCACATAAGAAATCTATAAGTGTCTATACTTTCTTAAGTAACCTTTGTTTGTGAAAATAACATTTCCCCACAGTTTACGCGTCGTGCAGATTCACTCCTCACTTCCGCCCACCGCGCTCAATGGTGTGTCGTCACGTCCTGTGGTCTCGAGCTCGGAGAAGATGGCGGCTGTCGTAGTGAACGCTGATGGAGGCGTCGCGCCGCTGGACTCGGACTCTGCGTCGCCGCGGACCCCGTCTCCAGCGCCGGAGCAGCCGCTCCAGAACAACGCGCTGCTGGGACTCCCGATCGTGGCGATCGAGAACATCCTCAACTTCCTGTCGTACGACGAGATCAGCTTGCTGCGGCTGGTGAGGAACACAATAGCTGCGTCTCGGTAACGTTAGTCTCGACGCCTCGCGAGGGAGCGGACCATTTCAACGGCAGCTTTCGTCGTATTGCGTCTTACACACTTTAGTGCATACTTCTCTCAGTGCTGCCGAGTTTCGTGATTTGAAAGCGTTAAACATTGGCAGCTCGCTAGGATTTGAGACTGGAGGAGTGCTGTCTTGGTATGCAGCGCACTCGGGTTTAGACACACCCCGTGTGTCCATTAAAATACTCCAGTGCGTGAGTCACTGCAGAGCTTTCTATGAAATCCGTCTGCAGATTCACCTCAGAATATTACATTATTATCAGAAGCCCGCTCCGGTGATTGAGCTTCATTCATCCAGCTGGTTTTAACTCTACACTTCCGAGCGCAAGCTCTCCCTCAGAATGCGAACGGCAGGCCTCTAGGATTCAAAGCGTTTGTTGTCATATGCCCAGTGAGGAAAACAAGTTTCCCTGAGCAATGAAATTCTTACTTTGCTGTCCACAATGAATGCCAAGACAGTGCAAAGCTATACACACACACATACATACAATGTAAGAAACATAATAATAAAAACTATGCTGCAGTAGTAGGAATATGGACTATGAAAAAATAGAAATATAGACTATGTGTATCTATATATGCGAGTATAGAGTAGAAATATAGAATGTGAAAATAGAAATATAGACTATGTATATGGTATCTACATATGCGAATAGATCTCTAGATGATTTAGTGAAGACTGTGTTTTGCTCTGTTGCAGGTGTGTAAGCGCATGGATGTGATTTGCCAGCGCATGCTCAATCAGGGCTTCCTGAAAGTGGAGCGCTATCACAGCCTGTGCCAGAAACAGGTCAAAGCCCAGCTGCCCAGGTGAGACGCACTGTTCCCCACACACCGCTGCGCAGAGAATAAACGCTTCTCCTTTACATTTGATCAGTGGTGGCCGTCACGTCCATACGGCAGAAATGCACAGTCAAAACCATGCAGCTCGTTAATGACATGCATTTAAACAAACGGTGAACACGATTAGTGACCAAACTTATGGGAATGTAAGGAAAATCTGGTAGTTTTGTGTCAGATCTCAGATCTTTGTAAGTTTAACTGGTTAAAATATCTTCACAGCTGGCAGATCTACACTCTCAGTAAGGTACAAAAGCTGTGGCGGCACACTTCTGTACCGTATTTACCCTTAAGAGTGCATGTTAGTGCCATAAAGGCACACATACTAGGACCTTTTGCAAGTGTGCTGCCCCAGTGACTGCTTTTGTACTTTTTTTTTCTTTTCTGAGAGTGTAGATGAGACTGTTAACTCTTGAGATCAGTTAAAAAGGATAGTTCACCATAAAATGACCATCCTGCCATCATTTACTTGCCTTCATGTTGTTCACAACTGACCAAAAATGGACAAAAAAAAGACAGACATTCCTCAAAATCATCATCTTCTATGTTCCTCAGAAGAAGGAAGGTTTGAAATGACTTGAGGGCGAGTTAAAGGGATAGTTCACCCAAAAATGAAAATGTGATGTTTATCTGCTTACCCCCGGGGCATCCAAGATGTAGGTGACTTTGTTTCTTCAGTAGAACACATATGAAGATTTTTAACTTTAACCGTTGCAGTCTGTCAGTTGTATAATGCATGGCAATGGTAACAAATGTGCATGTTTTTTTTACTCTCATAGATTTTGTTACCATTGCCATGCATTATACGACTGACAGACTGCAACGGTTAAAGTTAAAAATCATCATATGTGTTCTACTGAAGAAACAAAGTCACCTACATCTTGGATGCCCCGGGGGTAAGCAGATAAACATCACATTTTCATTTTTGGGTGAACTATCCCTTTAATGGTGAGGGTGATCGTTATGAGGTGAACTGAACTCTTTGGGAATTGAGAGGCTTTTGCTGGGAGCTTTACTTTTATATAAGTCTGTAATAAGTGCTTGTGTGTTCAGACACGTGTGTGAGACTCAACCCTG